AATACTCTTTAGCAAAACTGGGAGGAGGAGAGGGGAAAGAAAATATAGTTACCTGTAAGACAAAGTCTGCATGTAAAACAGATTTTCCGGACAAAACAATGCAACCACAGCAAAGTTTTCAAGAACATCAACACTTCTCACATGTGTAGAAGTCATTTGACATGACTGATGTTGCTTGCCTGTTATTCGCTGTCAGTTTTCATTGTATCATCACTGAATAAGGTCCTTCTGAGCAGATTTTTGCCTTCGTTCAGATGGAGCAGAGCTAGCAGCACAGTTCCCTTTACATTCTGTTTTTTACACAATTATATTGATATATAAGTATTAAGGGATACATAAGGCAGCAATTAAGGGATGCTTCAGATACCAGCAACTTCCTGAAATCCATAAGCCTAAATTCTCATTTGGGTATGCAATCAGAGGTGGCCATTGTTTCCTGCCAACAAAACCAAGGGTTATAAAAAATACTCTGACTTCAAAATTGTTAGAACTATAATTCAGTCCATTGCATTTACATTGCCCAGCTCTATACTTCTCAGGGATACAGCAACTGATCCAGCAATTACTTTCATATTAAGGAAGGATTTTATCACTCTTGCTTTAAGTTGCTGATGCTGAATTTGCAATGCATAAGAGAAGGCACCTTCATACCAACACAGAACAGACAAGGTGCAAGGGCCAGTGAGTATCAATGCTAAGCCTGGGAGCATATCTTGAATCTTCCCCAGTATCTTCCATCATCTTCTTGCAAAGTGTTCTTTTACAGAATGGAGCAAGACTTCTTCTTTCGAGGCAAGGAGAGAATAGTACCTTCTTTTCTGCAACCTTTATTCAAAAGAAATTGTCTAGAAAATAAAAAACTGGTTTAATCTAGTTCTTTTAAACACATGGGATTCAAGCCTTTCTCTCTACTTGTAGATGAATCTCCTCCACACCAAGGATCCCTAAACACAACACATGAGACAGCATGCTGATAAACAAGACTAGAAATCATGCTCATTTTCCTCAATTATATATATAAAAAAAGAGGCAATTCTGCTTGTCTTCTCATCCTGCTTCTCAGACATTTTCAGATTGACTAGGAAGTGTTTGAGTTTAGCCAATTAAGCTTGGAAGATGCTACAAGTGAAGGCTTTTGGACCACATCAACATGAAAGTGTGAGCAGGCGGTATTTTTGAACTTTTTAAATCAAATTCTCCTCTGCTTAAAAGACATTCTGATGCCAGTATATATAACAGGTTGGTTAACACACTTGTTAACATACTAGAACAATGGTTTATTATAATATCCCAGTATGTTATAATCAAACTTCAGTAACGTATTTTTGACAAATGCATGTACACAGCAGCACAAAATCTCTGCACAGAGGAAAAGGAAACATGTACCCTAAGCACAGCTTTACAGAACTTTCATCTCTCTTCCCCCTCTCTACTTTTGTCGGGGCAAGACTATGTCGGATTTCTCCTGGAAAGAGAAGATACATTGCACCTGAACAACTAGAACTTTGTTTCTCTGTGTTTCTCTGGATTGGCCAAGCACAGCTCGGCACAAGTGAAGACCAGCAGCTGCCCTAAATGAAGCACAGCTGTAACCTCCCTGAGGAAGTGAGGCACTGTCTTACTGTTATTGCACGTTCTTACACTAGAATAAAAAATGCTCAGCAGCAGTGATCTCCCAACTGGGGGATGAACACTCTAGAGACATGCAAGTATCCTGCACCCCAGAGGTGCATGAAGAAAATATTAGAACTTCTGTTTATTTTTTATCTAAAAATGTAAGAAATAAATCAAGCTTTACTAATATTTAATATGTCTTGACACTGGCATCCTCATTTGGTCTGTATGTCAGGTGGTCGCACATCAGACAGTGCATAAAGTATCCTGGGGGAAGAGTGGGTGCTTCACAACACAGAGGGGGGCTGACAGGTGCACCCTCACTAATTCGTTTGCCTTCAGTGTATTGTGACATACTGCAGTTGACATGTGCCCAATTAAGTGGATCTACGGATTATATTATCTAGTTGTAACAAAACTAACTCTCACAAAATGGCCAACAGGCTTAAAAAGATTCCTGAAAATATTACTGCAAACTGAAGGTAACACTAATAATACAAGCACAAACAAACTCCTGCTCCTGCTAAGCGCCCTTCATCAACCACATCACACGGTAGTATCAATTACAATCTAATCAGATTTGACAAAAAGTTGGCCAAAGGAATTCAAAACTATCAAGACAAATATTTGAAATATGAATTTACATCCACTATTGCTAACAGTGAACCTCTGTTCAAGTGTATACTGTGCCTTTAGGTGTTCGCTAATCATAGTATGAAGCCATCAGCGTTAGCAGGCAATTTATGAAATAACCATCCAGGATATGAAGACAAATCTTTATAACTTTTTTCAGCAATGTTTAAAGTCATGCAATAACCAATCAAGTACTTTACATCAATCAAGCGCTTTACAAAATTTCATAGAAAGCATTGCTGAAGGCTTGAAGAAACAAGTATTAGAAGTTATGGGGTATGAGAGGTTTCTTACACAGCTGGATGAAAATACAGGTGTTCCTAACCTGTCACAGTTTATGGTATTTGCTAGATTTTTAAAATGATTAAATAGATGCAGAACAACTTTTTTGGTCAGTCACTAAAGAAAAGAGGTATTGGGGAAAACATATTGTCAACAGCAAACAGTTTCTTTAATAAAAATTGTTTTATGGGAAAACTGTGTAAGTGTAACCACTGATGGAGTGGCTGATTTGACTGGAATAAAAAAAGGATCCTGGGATAAGATTACAGCAATAGTGAAATTCATTCACTCATGAGCAAGCCAGCACAGCAAGTAAGTTGCTGCCAGAATCTCAAGAGTGCTACATGATGCCATCAATGTGGTGCATTTTATAAAACAAGACTTTTCAATACTAGAACCTTTAAAATACTTTGGAAAAAATGTGGAGTGACCATGAAAGTCTTTTGTACCACAGGTTCACTGGTCATCTCATGGCAAAATGCTTAAAAGAGTTGTCAAACTTAAGGATGAGTACACATTTTTCATAGAAAGACAAGTGAGTGTTCCAAATCTGCTGACCTCTTCTGTGATGAAAAGGGCCTGTCAGTACTATGCTATCTAGGCTGATACTTCAGAAAAATAAAAACATTTAATCTGTCTCTCCAAGGTAAAGGTGACATTTCAACAATGATTGAGAAAATAACTGCTTTTTTAAGGAAATTTGTTGTATGAAGAGAGCACTTTGAAAACACAAATTTGGAAACATTTCCATCATCAACATGTGATTTTGTTATGGAAAGTAGTGCAGAAGTGTCACCTAGAAAAACTCTCATACTTGTACACCTCAACTTGGAAACAATTTTCTAATCTCTTTAAAAATCTTCCAAATAAAGAGTTTTAGTGGGTTTTCAATAAATTTGTTAAAAACCACAAAAAATCAAGACCTTCCAGTTAGCTTGCAAGAACAACCGATTGACATTGGGAAAGATGGAAACTTACTAGCTGAATTTTAACAAACACCTTTGCATAATTGGTGGTTGGGATTGAAAAATGAGCATCAGGATTTAGTAAACACAGGCAACAACACACTTCCTCCATTTGGATCTATGTATCTTTGTGAGCTGTCTTTTCCAGCAATGACAGCCACTAAAACCAAGTACCAAAATAAATTGAACCTGAAACCAGACCTTTGAATTTCTGTACCACAGTGTTAAACCAATCAAAAATAATGAATCGTATTTCACAGCATCACTTACTATTTTCTAGCAAGAGCAAAAAGGTACTTTGTAACACTAAAAATACTTTAAAATTGTTTAATGTCACCTTCTTTCACTTTTTTATTTTTTATAATGTACTTTACTAGTACAGAAGTACATGCATGTAATTTATATGTACAGTATGGGTACACGCTCATAATGTATTTTTGCATCTAGCTCTGGGTTCCCCAGCACAAGACAGACATGGACACATTAGAGCAGGTCCAGAGGAGGGCCATGAAAATGGTCAGAGGTCTGAACACGTCTCCTACGAAGAAAGGCTGAAAGAGTTGGTGTTGTTCAGCCTGGAGAAGGCTCTCGGGAGACCCCCTTCAGTATATAAATGAAGCTTGTAAGAAACACAGAGAAAGCTGTTTTACCAGGGCCTGTAGTGACAGGTCAAGGGGCAACAGATTTATAGTGAAAAGGTTTAGATTAGACACGAGGAAGAAATTTTTGATGATGAGAGTGTTTGGACACTGGAACAAGTTGCCCAGAGAAGTTGTGGATGTCCCATCCCTAGAAGTGTTGGATTGTGGCTTTGAGCAACCTGATCTAGTGGACTGTGTCCCTGCCCCATGATCTTTAAAGGTCCTTTCCAACCTCAACTATTCTGTGATTCTGAAACTGTATTTTTAAAATTATAACTTGACTCATTTCTGGAATAATATTAGCAGTAATAAATTTGACACCTGCTACTTTTAACACTAACATACCATGCAATCTTTTAAGTTCCATATCAAGCTTAAGGCATTCCACACTGGGATCGTGTAAAACCTACCTGACTGGAGTCTGTCCTGCAGCAAAAATAAAATTTCCAAGATAAAAGCCCAGGCTTGAATATTAAGTAATGCAAAGTAAAAGAAACATCTAAGCCTCATTAGAAAAAGCATCTTCATTCTGTAGTACTGTTCAGATTAACAGTACCTTTTTTTGGTTTTGGTGGAGTGTTTTTTTTGGTTTGTTTTTTGTTTTTTTTTTTTTTTTTTGTTTGTTTTTTCAAACCAACTCCCTTCCACTCTTTCCACTTCTCCACTCCAGTAGACACCATGTCAGACACCAAAGGGACTTCTGAGCAAAGCATGCTTTTCACCATTCTCAATGACACAGACACAAAAGAACAGTACACCAAGAATTCAGCTACTGCAATCCAGCATTAGGATTAAACCACTTCTGTTCTGAAGCAGGGAAGGCACAACAGTGAACCTGGAAGAACACACACTTACACATGAAACCTAAAAAGCTTAAGATGTAGATTTATTATGCATTAGGAAGCTTATTAACTTAAAAACCAAACTGCATTGTACAAAAGGTTTGTTATCTTTGCTCAGTGTGGAACAAGTTTCAAAATATATATTTTTTTAATTTGTTCAGTCAATACACAATCCTTTTAAAAAACTGTATATCTGTCAGTACCCTCATTATATTTATAAATACATGATTTACACTGCACCCCTTCTGGAAAAATTAAAACTCCTTACAAATATCTACATATATTGCATACATATAAAACATTCATAGGAGTACTTCATTAAAGTTGGGTTTAATGGTCCATTTACACTGCAGCAAAATACATATAAATCTGTGTATTTTTCATAAAATGTCTCTAAAAATTAGCACATTTGTAGCCATTCATAAGTCCTTTAAAGCATCTTTTAGAAAGGAAATTTGATATGAATGTATCCATGAGATTCAGCAAGTAAGACAGTGATATGAAGGCTAAATATGATTAATAACTGAACAGTAAGCAGCTGTTAAGGCAGGAGTGAAAAGAATTAATAAAAAAGATTATTTTATATGGCAGATAAAGTGACAAAATGCAATAAATATACATATTTCTTGATGTAAACTACTCTGGCACCCACTGTTTTTCCTACCTCAGAAGTCACAGAGTGTCCATATTTCTGACATTGCTCATTTTACAATTAAAGTTCTGTTCTTTATTAGCAAAGCATTACTGCGACCAGCGCTCTCAGGTGCCATCTGGATTTGCTTTAACTGCTCAGAACTGACTGTTCTGGAATGTGGGTTTAAGACCTCAATATGACTTTCATTTACAGGTAATGACTGTCACGTGTGATCATACACACTCAGAAGTCATCTCAGTTTCATCATTGCTTTCTGCTAACTACTGGATGTCTCATTGCTAAATAATATTTGAGAATGTGTCTTCAGGAAATTTAGTTACTTTTATTGGTAACTACTATTTCAGATACCAGAACTACACAGATCAGTCCCTCTCTCACATCATGAGGCCTACATGCAGACAAAAGGCATAAGAAACACAAAACAACCTCTAACAGTGGTGGCAGAAACCACTCTGCCTCAAACCTGATTATTTTGGATACAACTTTGGGAAGTGAACATTCAAACTTTAAAAAAATTCCATTATGTTTGATATTCAGGTTTCTACCCAATACCAGGATTTGACACAGCATCTGCAGTCAAGTACTGGGTAGAATCACACCTAGTTGTGACCTGCCATGCTAAAGAAACCCTCCAGCAAATGTGGTATCAACCTCAAGTACCATATAGCATGTGGCCTTCCCTTGTACACAGCTGCCTTCCTTTCAGAGGCCCGATACCCCATACAACCCACTAAGCCTCCAGAGCCACAATTCCGTGCATGAATTTGTACCATATTCTCCTCAGAAGGTAGCCTTCATACACTGCTATCTTGCAGCAGTGGTTCAATGTCCTCTTCACTGCTTCGGTCTAGGTTGTTACTCAGAGTACTGCTGATGCTGTTGCTGTGTTTTCTGGCACTGCTGGCTTTGCTGTGCTCAGGAATAAATAAGGCGACTAGAAAAGCCAGAAGAACAATGCATGCTCCAACCAGGAAGGGTGGACCAGGAATGATTGCTCTCTGTGGGGAAACAAGCGTATCAAAGAATTCATGAAGTTTTAGACACTGACTTCTGCATTAACCACTGTATCATTAAGGCAGAAGATAACAGGAGATGCGTTTACAGTGACTATAAAGTTTATGCAAACAAGTTATGTCCACTGCAACGTGAATTTTCTGCATCCACAATCCCTAAGAATTCCTCACTTCATCTGCACACTGATCTAAGAAAAAAGAAACAAATCACAAAACCATCAACTGACAATAGGATTGCCTAGCAGGTGAAACAGACATTGACTGATGCTACTCTGATATTTTTTTCTTTAGGCAACATCACTGTTAAATCAGCAAGACTCCTCTGAATATTAATAGGATAAAGTTTCAACATCCAGAAGTACAAATGCTCAGTAAATCTTTAACTTAAATTCACTTTTTCCACTTGCTTCCATGGCTGACATAGTTTATAATCAGGTTAGCCAAATAAGACAAATACCCCCAAAAACTAATACATGACTGAGGAAAGTAACAGCAGGCTATGCAGTACACACCATTCTCACTGCAGAAACAGGTTGTTGGCATGTATGATAACTTGGCAGTTGGAGTTATTCTCTCTTGCTTCTAAGCAGTGTATTTTAAATTTTAAAATACAGCTTACCCACATTTCATAACCACAGTAAAAAACAAACACCAGAAGGGGTTATAAGACTAATTTTAAACCAGCTAAGTTTAATGACAAAACTCTACAAAAGAAAGCTTCAGCAATCCAGACATTTCATTTTTTTTTTAATCTTCAATAATTTTTCTGTATTTTTGCCAACTAAAACTAAATAAAAATCAGAATATGAAACTTGTCAATCCATTTTATTTTTTTTTTCTACCAAGTGAAATACAGGAAGTTATTCTAATAGGAAGTGGGAAAGTAGCTGCCATTAAGCATGCCATAACAGGCTTATTTCCCTTGCTTCAACTCTTCTTACAAGTAGAGGCCTAATTTTTCATCTGATAGCCTCTAAATATAAAGTATATAATCATATTAGCAGAATTTACATTAACAATATTACTTAAATCTTCAAGTGATGCTAAGCCCACAAGTACTGAAGGAATGTAATAAACTTCCATAAATTAGTATCTTTCTTTGTAGTATAACAGCTGATTTATCTAAGCAGCTTTTGAATATTCCACTATTGCAGTTTCACTGAAGGGCGTAAGAACCTTTGAAAAGCAGTTATTGTTCATTGCACTGCCAAGTGTTATTACTTTCTAGTCAGAGCCTATGACTGCATTGTTTGCTGTAAAGGCTCCATGTGGGTAATTACAATGATGATACCTCACTCTCCTCATTAGTCTCTCCAGTTTTGAAAACAGTTAATTAAATGGGAATTAAGACAGATAGGCTTAACTTTTATCTGCAGAGCAGATACACAACCTTTCTTGAATATGTGCATCCAATCTTTTCTTCGACAGAACAGAACCACAAGTGCAACACTGCAAATCTCCTACTTCCACAAGAATAAAAAAGTGATACTCAGTAAAATCCTATTAAGTCCTCTAGAGTAACAAAACTGAATGATTAAAGGCAAATCTAAAAAAAAGAAAAAAAATGAAGTTCAAGCTGTTTAAAAAAACATCAGAAATGACCACTAGGATATATTCTCCTCCATTTACTGTACATAATAAATAACTGAAATTTGCATCCAGACTTTCCTGTCACTACTGTTTGAATATGAAGGTTTATAAAACCATTATACCTAACAATTCTGTCCATCAGTGACCACAGAATACTTTGCATCTGAAAGGTATAATACTAAATTATGACAGTGATCAGCTTTCACTAGTTAAGTTAAAATGAAATGTGGGGGTTTTTTTAAATGGAACAACACAGCTTCCTCTCAAAGTAATATATATCAAAAGTTACACAAAAAAAGTATTCTCCACATTAATAATTTTAACAATACCTATATAAATGATCTATTTCTGATAACAAATCTATTTTCTGCAGTTGCAGTAACACTCAGTACTACAGTAGTGGAACAAAGGAGGAAGAACTGTTTTTAATCCACCTTAACAGCACACTGGGTTTGAACAAGACTCAGCACAACAGCAGTGCATTCTCAGCTGAGTTCCTATAGACTCATAGCTTTTGACATGCAGGTGCAGAACACAAGCTTAAGCGTCAAAGGAAGAAAAGAAATCAACAATGCTTGTCACAGACTAAAACACATTATATCAGGTAACTGCAGTTCCACAAACATTTACTAACTTTTTATAACAAGGTACTTGTATTTTAGTAACAAGTTTAAGTGGTCTTAGTGAACATTTATTAGCACTTAATAAAATCAAGAAAACATTTTTCAAACTACGTATACCTGTAAAGCAACTCCTGGTTATCATTTAAAACACTGAACAAAATCAAGAGACAGCTCGCATGTGGGCCTTGCAAACCCTTGCAGAGATACTAGTACTAGTGTTGTAATTTCATTGTCTAATCTTGGTGCATTCCCTGGTTTTCACTGTCACTCTTTTTGCTTAGATCAATTTTTGAAGCTATATAATATTTAAATTGTGGAGATCTTTCCCACTGATATATGAGACTTGAACATAAGAATTAGTAGAAAAAATACTTGTACTGTTATTTTCCTGAATTATAGTTTTACATGTTAGGTATCTGGTAACTATTAACAGGGAGAGATATAATTATAGACATTTAACAAAGCTTATGAGTAGATACATAATCAAACAGAAGAGCTGTCCTACTGAAACTGGAATAAAAAGCAGTCTTAGTTATGCAAATACTTAGTGATTTTGCTGTGCTGCTAACTAAAAAAATGCCTACTTATGTATTAAGTAGGTTTTCAAGAAAACAAGGATGTCTGAAATGACAGTTTAATTTACACTTACAGATTAGAAAAATCATTATTTTATAAGGAAGCTCATACATTAGGCTTCAGTGCAGGAATTTCTTCTACTATAAGCTGTAGAAAATTACACAACAGAAGTTTTGACTCATTTATAACTTATTGGAAGAGTCTGTTGTTCCACTCTAATACACCTGGGCTACTTCAACAAAAAAGAAAAAAAAAAAAAAAAACAAAAAAAAAAAACCCACATGGATATTCTTAAAGTAACAGAACATACTGAATTACATTGTACATACAGAAATGTGTGTACAAGGTCAAAAAGCCAACACACTCCATGCCCGCAAAAAAGGTTATGTGATTTGATGCTTTAAAATACAGAGTCCAAGAGTAAAATTTTAACTAGTAGAAGCATGACAAATCTCTTGAAAACCTGAAATCACAACTATAAAAGTTTTTGCGTATTTTACTACATTTTCCTTTCTGTACAAGAAAAAGATTGCCTTTGCTCCCTTAAAGTCCACTCCATTTGCTTAAAGCACTCCAGCATAGGCACTGCAGTGAGCAGTATGTTCAAGCACTGGTTACAGCTAATAACTGGAAAGATGCACAGACTGGGAGATGAACAACAAATAGTTGTTTCCACAGTAACAGCTACCAGTTATTTACATATTCAGCTAATTTGCTGTCTGTCTCAATCATCTTAATGACAAGCTCAGAGATGATCATCTCTCTGGAAAGTCCGTTCTTGGTATTTTGAAAAAGCAATGAAATTGTAACTGAAAAGATCAGAGCACTCAAGCAGAAAAAAAAAAAAAAAAAAGGGGTCTATAAGACTCTCCAAACTCTGGTAAGCATTTATTTGATATTCTGAAAGACAAGCAGGAAAGAATAAAGCAGACAAAAATGTAGACCTGAAACAAATATGGAAGGAATAGAAGAGTTCCAAAGAAATGATGTATGGGCTTGACTTCCCTCACACTCAGGCTTCATAAAGTTGAGGAAAGGTGATGAACAGCATTGTCACTGCCATTGAAAAAAAAAGGTATGTATCTCAACTGTATACCCAATTACTGTATACAAGAATGAAGCTTGTTGCTGTGAGGTAGAAAGATAAACTTGTTGCAATTTACTGAGTTACCAAAAATGACCTGTGTTGTCAAAATTTCATGTTTCACTGTAATTCAGGATTACAGCTGTGCTTTGAGTACATTTACATCAAAAGAAGTTAACTGGTTCTATTAGAATACTGAAATCAAAGCTGCTACTACTTTAAATCTAAATATTTACTATCAAATTTAAATTATGAGTTATCTTAATAGTTAATAAAGCTAACAAGTGAGCATTAAGTATTTGAAGAATTAGATATCAAAACTTTAAATAAACTAAAAATGACAGATTTTTACCCTTGTGAGTTCTGCACTGCAAATTTCACACCAAATTTTAAGCCCACCTCATCACTGGGATCTTGCATTGCTTTTTTCCCAGAAGTCTGATCAGGTGGCAATTCACTGAGCTCCACATGAAACAGAAAGAAAATAAAGCCATATAGTGCTGGTCCCAGGCCATTACACAGACCTCTTATTCCAGTTATTATTCCTTGGACAACACCTAATGGAGAAGAGAAAAAAAAAAAAAGTACAAATTTTTATTTTTTTTTTTTAACCAAGAGTTAAGCACCGTGCTGGGTTCCTGTGGCATGGTTTTTGGTAGCAGCAGGGAAGAGGTCTACAGTGGTGGCCCCTGTGAGAAGTTTCTCAAAGCTCCCCTGGCTCCAAGTCGGACCCACCTCTGGCCAAGGCCGAGCCAATTAGCAATCATTGCTGCACCTCTGCAATAATGTATTTAAGAAGGGGAACATGTGAGGGGGTTGGGACTTGTGAGAAAGAATTATGAAAACGACAAACACCCAGGTCAGTGGAAGAAAGGAGGAGGAAGGGAGCAGGTGCACCAGAGCAGAGACCCCTGTATCCCATGGTGAGACAGCAGGGCCATCCCTCCTGCCACACATGGAAGTCCATGGTGGATCAGAGGCCAACCTGAACCCTGTGGAGGAGCCCACAGCAGGACAGGCAGCTATGCTTAAAGGAAGCTACGACCCTGAGGGGAGAAGCAGCCCCCACTGTTGTGGTTCAACGCTGGGAAGACTGCAACATGTGGGGGTGACCCACACTGGATAAGCTCAGGAACAGGTACACCCGATGGGGAAGACTCATACTGGAGAAGGTTCATGGATGACTGTCTCCAGTGAGAGAGGAGCCACATGGAGCAGGGGAAGAGTGTGCAGCGATCACTCCACCTCCCAAGAAGGAAGGAGAGGTGAGCTGACTGTACCCCCATCCCCTGCCCCCTGCGCTGCTGGGGGAGGAGGTAGAGATATGGAGAGCAGAGCTGAGCCCAGGAAGAAAGGGGGTGGGAGGAGAGCTGATATTGAATGTGGTGATGCTTCTCACTGTCCCACGCTGTCTGTTAAGTGTTGTTCTTGTTAGTGTTTGAATTAAATTGATGTTCTTTTCTTTCCCCTAATAAGTCTGTCTTTTGCCTGTGACCATAATGAGGGAGCCACCCCTTCCTGTCCTTATGTCAATTCTGGAGCCTTTTACTTTATTTTCTCCTTCCCATTCCTGACAGGGAAGGGGTGAGTGAACAGCTGTGTGGTGCTCAGTCGCCCTCTGGGCTCAAACCACAACAAGCACTCAGAGCCAACAGCTTTAAGTGCATTCTGATGGCTGTTCTAAAATAGCACATCTCAATTATTCTAAGATCATAAGAAACATATTGAAGATAACTTTGCTGGATTAAATTAATCCTCTGTATGACCACAGTTATGTCTCTGTACTTGCATGCTAGTGGAAGCAATATTTGAATTGCGTTTTGAGTATGTGTGACTACATTTATGTGCAAGTCCAATTTTCTGTATTAGAGTTCTCTCAACCTCAGCCAAAGCCTACAATAAAGAAAGCAGAGGTTAAAAGTGGTACCTTCTCAATTTCTTTTCAAGTGAAATTTAGAGTAATACATCTATGTTTAAGTCTACGGGGTAAGTGTTGGTATTGCCAAAACATGCACAAACTGTAACAGATTTATTGCCCTCACCAGTCTAAAACCAGGATTTATTTAAGTACCAAGTACCAAGGCAGTAAATTCAGTAGTACTGCATTAAGTTCACAATATTAGATTTTCTGTAGTTTGAATTAGATTATTTTTAAAGCTTGATTAATCAAAATTCTATGGGTGTATTTCTGTTTCAACTTCACTAAGTCATTGTGACAACAGTGTAAAAAGTTTTTTTACAAACTTAACAGATTAATATTTTACAGAACACTGTTTTTACAATATTAGTAGTCAGCGTATCCCTTTCCTTCTTAAGGGAGTAACATGTAAAATGGAGGGAAAGAAAATATGCCAAAAAGTTGTCCCAAGTTTTTTCCCCATAGGTTGACATGTACACTTAAAGTCTTCGTGCCACTAGATGGCAGAACTTCACTCTAGAAACTATTGTATGCCTAAACTGAAACAGTAGTTTCCTTTATGTAAAATAAAAGATCAAAGACTTCTGTCAACTTAATTAAACTATTCAATTCATGACATAAATAGAAAACAAGTGTTTTAAAACTCTTTTAATGTCTCTATTAGAAATAAAAATCGGGAGAGGGGAATGGTAAAAAAAAGCCATGTAAAATACTGTATTTTGCATTTTTCAAATTCAATAGAAATCTGCCTCCTAGAACTGCACCTCCTTTATACCTCCCCATATCACCTGCATTTACCTAACTTTAAGTTGTACAATGTCAGAGCAAGACTGATATGTATGATTTATATATACAGGATTTTTTTAAACAGAACACTAAACTCAGTTGCTGTATCCAAGTGTCATACTTTGTGATGACTCCTTCCCTTACTTCATTTTAAACAAAGAGTTGCTTCTGATTGCTCAATCCTCTTCACAGCAAAATCAATTTTTTTCTCTTCTCAGATCAACTATTTACCTAAACTTCCATTTCTATTCCTTGAAAATTTGAAGTATTATAGCAAATAGGGCCAACTTTTCCACACAGAATAGAGCTTCTTGTATGGGTTTATTCTGATCTGGTGAAATGTGGGGTTTAGACTCAATTAAAAAGATTATATTGTTACATTAATCCTCACTATCTACTTAGAGAATATTACTTTTACTAAAAGAGGAAGGAAGAAATATGAAAGTTACCACTTCTTTTTTTGTTGCTTTTGTAGCACTTTTACAAGAAGCCAGAAGAAAAATAGCTGGTCAGACAGAAACTATGTATTTTGCAATGCAAATCTGATAAATTTGTGTACCTCCTTCCACTCTACACAGATTGGCAGACTTCCACAACTACTACTATAAGAAACTCATTATTCATCACCATACCTGAGAAGTACACCTAGATAAGTGTTCTGCTTTCTAGACAGAAGAGTCATCCAAGAAAGGATTCTGACACTTAAACAGAAATTCATTCAATACTCACCTTGTTGATCTGACTCTGCATTTCGTGAAACCAGAGCACTGATTGCTGGGAATGTAATGCTTGACATTGCTGCTACAGCTCCTGCTGCCCACATCATCCTGCGTTAAACACAATTTTAATTAAAAATGAGACTGCCCATATAATTTCTCCGCAGCCTCCCAACAAGGGCCACAAATGTACCTGCATTTAAGGCTTAATGCCCTTTCAAAACTACCTTCACTAAAATACCTAGACTGCAAATTATCTGGTCAGGGCCTTCTTCTGGCTCCCCTCTCACAAATTACCGTGAGCTTGCTGGAACACTAGCTAGTCCTAAAGTAGCTATTACAGCAAAGGAAAAGAGGGGAGGGGAGTGAGTGAAGGGCTTTCCCCCTCCAAAGGCTGTACAAAGGAAGAATTTCACGAGGTGTCCCAGTGAGGAAGATGTCTAACTTGTATAACCCACTGGGAAGTGCTCTGATAAAGAACAAGCATTCATCACTGAGAATGGGACAACGTTTGTTAAAAAAAAAAAAAAAAAAAAAAGCTGTTCTACCTTACAGTTCTAATTCACTTTGCTTACAGCTTTCCAACAAAAAAAGCTCTAGATAGTTTCCAAGGTTGAATATAGTTATAGCAAGATAATGACATGTTAAAAAAAAAAGAAAAAGGTAGACGTCCAGTAACTGATTGATAGATTGGATCTAGTAGAATTACTGGAGAGAACATACTACTTATTAGATTGTGAGTTTAAGAAATAATTTTAAACACATTTGTAGACATAAAACTCAGTCAACCAATGTGGTGCAAACTCCTTTTTCAAGAGAGCTGTTAGTATGCAACTTCCACTATATATCTGGAAAAAATTCTCTCATTCCTACATGTGCAAAATACAGAACAAACTTAGGTAGTATAATGCAAACAAGAATGCTTAATTCACAGAACATGTAAATACTCATGAGGACAGAACTAAATGGTAGAATTTATTGGAAAAATATTATCAGTTCCTTAACAGGTATGTACATATGAAAACACATGCTTACCAAGACTGAGATCCAAAACCATACCACGCCAACTGAAGGATCTGAAAGCCAAGGCCAAGGAGAACAGTATTTTTGTTCCCTATAGATCTCATCAAGATACTAAGAAACACAGTCTGCAAGAGAAATTGGTTCATCCAAAAGTTATTTTAAAAAGTCAGACTGCTAAAGTAATTTCTTCTACACAAATTAATTCAAAAGACCTTCTAAATGCTGAGAAAATTCACACTATTTGTGCTCGCTCTTCCCCTGTAATTAAGTCCAAAACACGGACTAGTCACATCAACATCTGATGTGCAGGCATTCTTAACTATTAAAGGGTTTCTACTTCAGGACATCAACAAATATATATATGTATTGCCTTCTCTATGGACATTACATCTCAGTGTCTGTTCCTACTGTAAACAGGCTTTCATTTCCACCTCGACAACACTGTTTCATTTCAGACCAGAGAGTTCCACAATAAATGCTGCTACCAAGTTAAGATAGTACAGGCTGGATATGGGTTGAATTTACCACTATCTACAAATACTAGAGAAAAAAAGCCCGTTAGCTCAGAAAAACAGTCACCTCTCTAGGTCAGGTGAATTACTATCCAAATATACAATTAAAACCAACAACTAAATCCTGCTGCTTTTCCAGCTTCACCACATGTACTGAAATTTGGCCAAGGTCAATTCCTAAGACATCTTTAATTACATTTTCCACTGACTCTTAACACCACTGATAGGATCTCTTTATTTCCACATGGAAACTAATCCTAAAGGAAGACCACTGTGTCCCATATGTTAGAAGCATTACTGCTGAAGGGCAAGGAGGTCCCAATTTATATATAACAGCAATACCTTCATGGCAAGAAGCAGACTACACCTAGTAAGGCAAAGTCCATATGGACAACTTAACTCAGTTAACAGAGCACATGTTTTTCTTTAACATGAGAAACTCTGCAATGCATCAGTGAAAACCCAAAGAAAAGGAACCAGAAGGGCTGCAGAGCAGAGCACAATTCCCCTCCCATGTGTATCTTACACTAGTTTTCTTGTTTCTACCAACACCAATCAGTACTTATGAAACAAAAATTATTTCAATAAGCTGCATTCTTCAGAGAGTTCAAAAATCAGCGTAGAGTTTCCTCATTTTAAAACTGAAAATTGTGAACCAGAAGAGCAGCCATTTTAGAGATTTTAGCAATAATACTGGTCTGAATAAAGTATGATTGGCAAATGTGAGTGCACATAACAGCATCTGAACAAACCACAGAGCTAAGACTAAAACAATGCCTTGATTTGATAATGAAGGACACAACTGACACCAGTAAAACTGGCAAACACTGAGGAATGTGTTGTTTACATCAAAATGGTAAGACCTCCACTCTGGTAAGGATGGCAACAAAGTTACAGCACATTGTACCTGTCATTCCTCTTCCTGTTGTGGTAACAGGAAGACAAACTGTACACATAAAGATATCAAAGATCACATCATAAAAACTGTTTGATTTCTGAAAGGTGTAAAGGGCCTGTCCAAAAACCTGCTCAGTGTTGCCAATTAAAAGGTATGAAAGCAATGCAGCAAGGCTTCACAGTTCCTCAGCCTCCATGCTGAGCCTAATTAACCCTGTTCAGCCAGTGTCACTACCTGCACTGTTTGTATGCAAGTTTGATAGCATAAGCCAATTAAATAGGTGCAAGTACCATGACTTTTGCTTAAAATAAGTAATACGTTTCCCTTTCACAAGGCCTCGCATTAAGTAACCGATTTCCTACGTGATTTTAATCATTTAAAGCCAGAGTTCAGTAAGTTGACTGATCCAATCTTAGCAATTTCAGTTTCATTTTCTGATGACCAGGTTCAGTATTTCTAAGGAATGCAGATTTAAAGCAAGACATTTATGCAAACTATGTATGAATATAACCTTTAGTGAATGCAAGATACACTGGCGTTTTAGAGCATCTAAGAAGTTTATAGACAAGCCTAGGAGTTAGAAAAGTGTGCCTTGTCATTCAGTTTGTACTGTTTAATAAAACAGTAAAAAGAATAAAGCTTACCTGAGCTACTATAGACAGAATGCCTACCACAGCTATAAATGCCGCAATGCTAGCAGATCCAAAACCTATAATCTGAAGAGAAGCAGAAAATGTATAAAACAAATGCCAAACACAATCCAGGACAATCATTAGCAAAGAAATATCTTTGTCAAAGCAAATACTGGTTCCAGCTTACAATCTAAGTCCATACAGGAAGTGTCCACTTTTGAGAATAATCCTTAACTCTACTGCTTGCCAAGACATCCTCACAAGAAAAAAAACCTGCCTTAAAAAAAAGGAAACAGGGGCACTCATGTATCTGAAAACTCAAGTTATTTATCACCTCCCACAGTCACAACAGCCATTCCACAGGCAAGATCCCACTTCAAGGCATACAAGCTGCTGCACTGAATGGGAATAAAGGTCTGCTTAACTTTATAAACACATGCTTAAACTACAGCAAAGTTTATGCATCGAGAGACAAGTGTTATTTTGTTCTTGGCTTAGCAAAGTACCTTACCTTTCTTTTTTAAAGCTGTATTTTGCCAGAAAGAAGCTTTCTGAGCAAAGTCTTCAACAAGAAACAGGTCTTAGGGAATACGTGTTTAAGTATCTCTAAAAAGATGTCAAGACATTTACCTGTCGCAAGTACAGAAAAAAGCTAGAATACTGGCCAGCCTCAGGCAGATAGGAGAGAAACACTGTAATGCAGATCAGGAGAACCGTAGAATCTTTTCTAACCTTCTTCAGAGACTGTGAAACAAAAAAAGAAAACAAGTATTGGAACATTTATATGAAGTCTCATGAAAGCATAAAGCAAGCAGAAGGTGGATTCACTTTTTAAAAATGCATTTTTACCTACACATACAAGTCAAAAAAGTTACACGTTAAGCTGAACATTAAATTAGGAACAACCCCCTGTTAGATAAGGTTTGTGGTATCTGTTTCTTCTGCAAAGTTTCTGTTTGATTTCTGAAGCTACTGTTGAGTGCCAAATTACAAGTATTCACTGAAAACAGCATCATATACTACTTAGGGAAATGCACAGTATGTTCTAATTGATCTCCATAATAAACTGTTCTGAAAGATGCTAGAAAATAATATAGCCTCATTACAACTGTTTCTCTTCCCAAACTGTGTATTTTTCCTCGTACGTTTCTTATACTTGTTCACCCATAATGTGAATCACTTTGAACAACAAATAAATTGTGGAAAACAAGTTTTTTAACTGCCATCACTCATATCTCAACAGTCACAACCACTTCCCAGCAGCATGTATCTCATGCAGAACAATCACTCTTTCATAAGATATCAAGGTGCAACACAACACAGATTAGCTGCATGTTAATAAATGAACAAATTCCTAGAAAAACTGCATGGTATGTTTTAACCCTTCCCATATATGACTGTAGAGAAATCAGGCTTTATAAATCCATTCTCTATTAAAAAGATATCCTACATTATCAAAAGTGGAACGCAAGAGTTGGGAGAGCTATTGCCAACCGAAAGTACAAAGAATAAAATGAATATGAAAAAGTCTTACAGTATCAATGTTTTAGGTTCCGCAGCAGTGTCAGAATTAATTTCTCTTACAAATGCAAGAGCATTTCTCTTCCAATATAATACAGTAAGTTAGAAAAGTAAAGCATTTTCTCTTTGGATTTCACACCAAACATTTTTTCCAATTCAAGAATCATTGAATCTACGAAGTTTGGTTTGGTTTTGGTTTTTAAATGTAGCTAGATCTTTTTTTGCAAAAGCAGAGAACAGAGATTAAGATACACTGAACAGTCAAGCTACCAATAAGACTAAAGATTTCTCACGATTACAAAATTCAATTAATTATTAATATTAATTAATCAGCCATTATTTATTAATTCCTTATTGAAGTGCATCTTACTGCAAAAGGGTCTGCTTGCTCCCATGATATAGAAGCTCCCCATGAAGCTGGTCTCATTTTTTCTGGTAGAGATTCTGGTACAGCTAGCAGGATGAAGCAGATGTCCACAACTGCCACCAGTGTGGCCACTAGTACAACAAGGTTATCTCCATAGCTGGCAGACAGGTATGCTCCAATGGCAGGACTAGTTACCAAACTTGCTGCAAAGGTGGCAGATACCTATGCACAACAGTTTACAAACTTGTCAAAAAGGTTACTTTGCCATTGCAGAAAAATTAAGTAACTTGCTCAACATAACCATCCGTCCCCAGAAATGTGGTTTAAAAAAAAAAAAAAAAAAAAAAAAATCAGTCAAAATTTAAGAAAAAAATAAAAATTAAAAAAAAAAAAAATCACGACACTAAGTATGGGACCAAATAAAGTTTCTCCAACCTCCTCCAAAACCCACCATATGACAGGATTTGCAGAAAAGTAAGTCTGGCTCAAAGGCAAAAATTTTTTGTTTTCCAATCTGTTTACATTTCACTGAAAAAGTTGTCAGCACATTTAAATGCCTGCCTTACTATATCACAAAGAGCAGAACAGGATGAAAAATCTAGTGCTGTAGTTAAATTTTACTATAAAATAATCAGAAAAGGTTAGAATAAAGCTAGTTTGTTTTAATTTTTTAATTATTACTCTTTTCCTAGTCCCCAAAATAAAAACACTGCATAACTATTTTATAGAACAAGAAGACAAACTAGAAATTTAGTTTTATAACAAGCTAGAAAAAAGAATCCCCAGGAAAAGGTGTAACAAACTGATTATGGGAAGAGATGCAGACCTTATCAAAATAACTGCACTTCTGTCTACCACTTAACAGAATTTTAGATCAAGGTGTTTCTCTTAACTAAAAACTGTTTGAAGGCAAGCAAATTTATGTTCCAAATATACTTATGGTCCTCCTTATGGGCAGGAGAAATAAAGTGAGAATTTTAGAACTTTTAAACCTGTTTTGTGCTCCGATAAAACAATACATACAAGGTTTGGTTTGAGAGAACCAAGTCCTTTATTTTCTTAACTGTTAAATCAACATCTGAGTAATCATTCATTCCTAAGGCTAGAAATAAAGGGAAAGCTTAACAGCTCAAAGTACAGTACAGTTAACCAAAAATCAAGTCCATGAATACTTGTACAGTGAAAACAGATGCACAAAGGATGAAGGGATAAATTATGTTCGAAGTCTAACAGGATCTACCAATGGGCCTCCAAAACCTAAACCAATATAGATACTCAGGAAAGAAAACTAAGCAGGAATTATTACTGGAAAGGCTAGTTTATACTAACTGAACTATTTTCCTCTTCTCTTGTTAATTCAGAAAGGTCATGACTAAGTTACTAAAAATACTGCTTTATGCATTTTTGCCCTTCCTGCCTGTTTTAACTACAGAAAAAGTCATTCTGTATTAACAAGAAATTACATATGCTAAAAGTGCAATTTATAGATCATGAAAAGATATTGCCAGATGAAGTTTTAAATAACCTGCATTGCCTTTAATAATATTTCTTGTTCTGCCTGCGAAAGCTAAAACACATTTTGTTACACGTGCCCTCCATGCAGGTAAGGTCCAATTCTTACTCTATTCCTATGAGCACTGAATAGTCTATGCAGCAGTAAAAAGCATCAATTAGATTTCACAAACTCTATCACAGTGACTTGATGTTCATTCCCTTATCAACATCATTGCATTAATCAGGAAACAATCTTGCATCAAAACAGAAATTCAATACAAAGGTTGTAATCTGACCTTTTTTTCAAGTTTAGCGTATCTTACCAGTCCATAGGCTGTTATTCTTTCATGTTCTTGTGTTACATCAGCTACGTATGCAAATATTACAGAAAAGGTAACAGAAAATATTCCAGATACGGATATCATAGCGAAGTACCACCTAATGATTTAAAAGCAACAATTAGAAAGTTTAAGCTAAGATCTCTTGCTCTTCTCTTGCTAATCAAGCAAGTCCGTATTTAAGCCACGAGAAGTGTTCCTCAAGAACTAACACAGAACTTCACTGGAAATGATTGATTGTGCAGTCTCTCTTAAATATTAAAACCAACATTTTAATTTTTTTATATTCTACTGTTTACTTTACATCAGTCTAAAAGAAGCAGCTGCCCCTGCAGGACATTGTACCTATAAACTTGCTTCAGTTTTAACAGTGTGAAAATGTAGGTTATGAAAATTAAGCTATCTTAGAACTCAGTTTCTCAAGCAGTCAAAGAATCCACTATCATATATAATGCTTCAGAAGGTAAACTCTGAATGCACTCAGTGTACACAAAGTAGTTCTGTAATCTTCCTAAATTTCATAACAAAAGTAAATGAAACTGAAACTAAGTCAATTCTACTCAGTTAAGCCTTCAAAGTTGCCTGATCAAAGAGTTAAAAGATCTCATTTGCAGAAATTATACTTTTCAGTGGTCAGTAAACTCTAAGGTTCATCCCGCTTTAAAAACATTTATTACAGCAATGTCAGTCCTCTGGGGAAAAAAAAAAAAATAACAGCTGAGCTTAAAACTGAGTTAGACAGGGCTATCAAACCATTTCAATTACTGTTACACTTGTGTGAATACAGTAAATAAATAATACTCGGTAATTTCTGCTTTTAAGATACACAGTTTTAACACCTATTAAACAGAAAAGCTCCAGAATAATGAAATCACATCTTTAAAGGAAAGTGGCTTTCCTCTCATCTTACTGTCCCTCTCCCACTTCCCCAAACTACTCCTGTAATTCAATTTCTGCTGTAGTGACAAGCTCACTACTGCAGTCTTTACCACTTACCATGGACTTATTCTCATTAATGGAATTGGGGCACAGGTGAAGAAAACAGTAAGAAGGAGAAATGATCTTCTTCCCCACGCATCTGATAGAGCACCTATTAGCGGAGCACTGAGAAAAGACAAAAAACCCTGCGACAGAATAAAAACAATTAATATGTCTATATTTACATTTCCAAGTTCCACTTTAACCACAATATAGAAAAGGACTAAAATTGTAATTTGATTTTAAATTAAACACAAAACTTCAGATAACTGAAATTGTACACAATTTCTTCTACAGTCTAATTTTCTGCGATTCAGACATTTTATGTTTCAAAGCTTTTAAACCTGATAGCACTAAAAAAAAAAAAAGGCATACTTTTTTCATGATCAATTTGATTCAATATATAAGTACCACAGACTGCAAAAGCTTCTTAAAAATCTCCAAAATATACAGTCTACTTTAACAAAGAACATCTTTGACTTTATCACAAGACTTTGTACTAGATGCCAAACCCAAATTTCCCTCTAATTTGGACTGTCCTAAAGGAGAGTTTTAGGTAACTGTTCTCTGAAACAAATTAAACAGAACACTTATTGCTTTATACTACATATTTTCATGTACAGGATATTTGTACACTGAAAGAACTATGAGGACCATTTGAGCAAGCTTGACAACTTCAGACAGTGGAACACCATAATGATATTCCAGTGGCAAAAGTCACGACTTTCAGGTACAGTTGTTATGGAAAAAATTGACTAAGGATCAAATACTAGATTTTTCAGTATTTCATAGAGTCTAGGCCTCAAATCTGCTCTGTATTACAGAGAAGAATTACAATAATCAGCACCTTTCACAGGTTAGACACTAAAGTGCAAGCTTGGTCTGGTCTATGCTTCCCTGTTTATTACACCTATTAGAGCAATATGGACATGTAGACCATGATATGACTTTTTTAATGTGCTTTTCTACAGATACGGTCTGTAGAAAATACACAGGCAACTCTCCATTCACTACTTTTAAGTAATACTCATAGCTACACTGCACTATGTATTAACAGAGTTAAAAGAAAACACCAAGAGGAAGAAAATGGTGGTTTTTTTACAAGAACAATGCGAAGTTAACTTCCTTTTTCAGTCTGAGACATCCCAACTTCTACAGTGTATGGTGTTCTGCAAATCCAGCATGAAAGATGTCAATACGGCAAGTCCATCCTAAAGAGGTCACATTCTTACAGCTATAAACAACTTTTTAGATTTGTTACAAAAAATAAATGATTTCTGGGTACTATAAATTGAGTTAGACATAAGTTACACTAAGTGCTTTGAAGCCTCTCAGTAATACAGTTAGCAAACAGGTTTTCAGGTTTTAGTTATGCCAGAGAAATTTTGCAAACTTTTTCTGTGGCAACAATCCAGCATGACCACTGTCTGAATGCAGTGCTGTAAGCAAGCTATAAACTTCCCTGAATATCGTGACCATCATAGAATGTTCAAAAATGGATTACAAAAAAGGCCAGGAAAAAAACAAAAAAAAAAAATCACCTTGCTGAAAATTATCTTTTCTATCACATCTTGAACAAAATCAGAGTGTTTAAGTGCTTGATTTTTTATCTCAATGCTATCATCACAGCTGCATTAATCTGCTTTTGACATAGATCATCTAGCACTAGGAAGTAGACATTAAAAGTCTAGCTCCATTTTCAGAAAGATCATTTTTAAGATTACTACATCTACAACTGCTACCTACTCAAATGAGAGGAAGTTAAACTTCTGAGAAATATTTCACTTGTTTCAAGATGCTACTATTTAGCAGTAAAACTTGAGATGAGCCCAAGAACACAACTACTACAATGGAAAAATGGTTTAAGAACTAACTATATTCTCAGTGTTTTGCATGTTTTCCCAGAGAATGCATGAGAGACAGATTACAGAAAAGGAACACACAGAATACTTAGGTCAGAGATTTCAAAAAAATCTTACCTTAACACCTTGAATAAGACCATTCATTAAAAATGTATGATGGGAAAATGTTTCATGTAAGACCTGATGGGAAAAAAAATGCATTATTTGAAGGAGAGGCAGGAGAAAGTTGACTTAAGACAGGAAAACGCTGATTCAAAGTTTTAATTTGATTTGTAAAAGAGGATAGCTCTACTGGGACTTGTGAAAAAAATATCCCAGAATTATACTTTTATTTGTCTTCATAAGACAATATTGACAAGGTTTAATATCAATTTATTGAAATAAATTCCTTTGCTGGCACAGACCACACTGTACCGCAGACGGTTGAGTTTAGGGTACTTTGCTCAGAAAGGGGATCAGCCTAAGAAAAAAGCAACTCCAGGTGGTACAAATCACAAAATTTTTGAGGTAGATAATTCCTTCAAAAGGTTGATTCAATCATTGTTCTCATTAGGAGTGAAAATGAGATTCAGCTAACTTACTGTCAAGAAAAACACAGCACTATATTCACAACTGCCCAAAAAGGCACTGTGCAAACTGTTTCTGAACAATTGCAGATATTCAGTAGTCATACACTTAGAAAACACTTATGATGAACAAGTAGATGCTTATAAATACTAGCAATATTTCTGAGTGTTTCATGTATCCTTTAAGTACAGCTATGAATTCATTAAGGTGCTTTACCAGTAGTCTTAATTCAAGGGCAAGCATGTTAATCTATACTAAATAGGTTTACCATAAATATGCCTCTCAGGTGCTACTGTGTCAGTTTAAAAAATTACTGCAATGATCAAAGCATGTATGCACACATACTTCAAATTAATTTGCTGTTTTTATCTGTAAGTGCCAACAACTACAAAAATTATTTATATGCATATTGAGAAAGCCACTAGCCTGAAGAAACATGATACTTTAGAGTCACTGAAACGTATCAGCATAATTTTCAAGGATGACTGAGATTCTCAAATCATGTGTTTAATAAAGGCAATTGTTCCCATGTTAACTACTGGTCAGAAACTCTACTTATTTACAACCCTTTTTGCTTCTGGTTTCATCTTCTGTTTAGGTATTTAAAACAATTTTACACCTGTTTGACCACTGATTTTAAGACCTAAATGGAGAAAAAAGAACAAGAGGTCAAATCAGAGATCTAAGAGCAGATGTCTTCCAAGTCAAAAAAAAAAAAAAAAAAAAAAAAAAACACCAAACAAAAAAAAAAAAAAAAACAAAAACAAAAAAAAACACCAAGCATGAAGCTCACAAAGACAAATCTAATTATCTCTCTGTAAAGTGTTTTCCAGTACGTTCCTGGGAGGCAACCACTGCTGATACTGGTTCAATCTTTTGAGATTAATTTCTGTTACTTTATAGACAAGAGAAATGCAAGTTTACAAGTTAGAAGATGCAACTGCCTTCTTCAAGTTCTACCGATATAACTATTTCCATATTCAAAAAAAGATTATATTTAAGACAGAATATACCATTAAGTGGCTAATATTGCTTATGGCGATTTACTAATACTGGTCGAGTAATGAGCATAAGTTTTGGGCCATCTGTGAGCAAAATAGCCTTTGTGCACTTTACAAAGACCAAACCTTTTCTTCTCTAAGTGTGGTGTCATGTAAAAAATACTATAGCTTTGCGGACTGATGTCAAAAGAAGTGAAAAGACAATCTAAAAAATTAAATAATCTCAGCTATCATAGAACACATACAATTTATTTTGATAATAAACAACACATTTTAATCTGACTGAATGTTGACAATAACCTGGGTAATCACAACACAACCACAGAAAATTTGAGTGATCATGAGCTTTGAGATCAACAGGCCAGACATTTTCATTTCTGCCCTTTTTAGCAGATAAACCTGCTTGTGCAAAAGTGGGCAGCTAGCAGTTCAAAAACTCGTAAGAAATCTCTACATGACTTCTAGTACTGCTGGCTGATCAGCAGGCCAAGGTAAGTTATCACAAGTATGTTACAAGACAGAAGGGTGCAAGGTATCAAACCAGATCTGGGATGATTTAAAACAAACAGCAGCCTTTCAGTGTATGCAAAGTCGATTACAAATAAAGATTAACACCCCCAAGAACAGACACGTCATTCACACCTATGTAGGGTAAGTTACACCATTATAGGTATGTAACTCAGTGCTTTAAATTTTCAGTCCAATTCAACAGCCTCCTAAGTATTCAAGACCACGTAAGAACACAATATTCAAAATACAAGACATTCAAGACCATGATTGTACTGAATTCACATACTTCAGTTAAAGAATTTAGCTTTACATTAGAAGCATTTTGTAACACTCCTATTAGACACAGTACAATGATAAATGCTAATTACAGTAATTAACATTTCAGCTGCATGTGTCTAAGTAAAAAATCATAAAGAACTATTTCAATTGGTGTACACTACAGAGGAACTACTGAAGAACACACCTAACATGTAGTTTTCTTAAAGTGGGGTTTTTTTTTTGAAGACTCTGTAAGAATCGCTATTTGCACATTATCCTTTTAAATGAGAACTGTCAAGGTTGGGCAACTTGAATTTTGGTTAAGGAAAAAAGGAAAAAAAATAAACAAGAAAGATCACCTAGTACGCTTCCCCATATTTTGACACTGTCAAGAAAGCATGACAGGATGGTCATTTAATAATACATTTACTTTATGGAAACCTGTTGACTGTTTATATGGACATTTTTATTGCACTACATTAAAAAGATCGGTGATTGTCTTTAGGAAGGCTAAACAAACACCTTTCAAGAGTTATGTAGATTATTTTATTTGGAATTTGGGGAGGGTAAATTATCAATCCCACAAAACCTTGTTCATCATGTATTCAAAGAGCTCTCAGGTACTATCTGAAGAAAAAACACACTTTTGATGATTCCTCTTAGGCAGGCCTGATTTCAGTGAATAAGACCCATATCTTCAGATTAAAAGCTTCATATTCTATTATCAAATACTCAAATTATCTATGAATCTGGAACATAACAGCATTCCAGAACAGATTACATATTTATAAAATCCATTTTTTACATGAAAGCCTTCACACTTTACTTTAAGCCACATGGGGGTAGAACAGCCAGCCCACAATTGCATACAACATTTACTGTGAGACACAGTTTATTCAATTGTTATGACTGGGAGATGAACTGAACTATGAAGCGTTAAAAAAAGCCAAAATTCCCTGAGAGACTTTCATCGATACACTAAACTGATGTTACTCTAAAAAGGCAAATAAAAGCTAAGTAGTAGTAGAGCGTTATGGTTTATTTATTTTTCACTCTTTTGGTCTTTCAGCAGTCCAGATCTCAGCTGCAGTATACTACTATTGCATAGTGTTGAATGTTAAGACTCCTGGAACTCAGTTAATGAGGTAAGCAGAAGTGTAAAACAAATTAAAACCCCAATCCCCAGGAATTAGCAAATTAACTTTTGTCATTACTGCCAAGAGAACTGCTGATCAGTGATACTTACCGTTAGCATTGGAGTCGTCAAGAGCCCCCAGGCAAAGAATTCTAGAAATATGACCACCACTGCATGGTATACACTTGGCCGACCAATACCTTGTTGCTAAGAAAGAAAAACACATGCAGTGGTTGTACACATTCAGTTCATTACATGTGCAAAGATCTCTTACAGACATATTTTGAGCATAACCATCTTTCAGGATGACCTACTGCCAAGCCCTAGGGAACAATAATAAGCCAAACAAGGGTGGGGAAAAAATCATTACAAAACAACTAAAGATCTCCAGGGAACTTGAAAAATTTTGTTCCCTCAAACTCTTGCTGACTGAGAAGAACTATTTTCCTCATTCCTCATGTTGCCCTGTATTGCTCTCACCTCCAGCACACCCTTAGGCTTGCTCCTCTTGAGCACTACTGACAACCCTTCCGCAGCAGTGTGACAAACCGTGTAACTCTCCCAGCTACCTTCACTAGTGACAATGACAGATCTACTTTATGAAGCTCGTATCACCATTACGACAAAACTATGACAACATACATAATCAGAAGAGCACCAATTTTTATATTTGAATGTATGAGAAAGGAAGGGGCAGCTTATGTTATTTGTACAATTGCTTTCTGTTGACTGCTGATTTCATGGTTGTGTGCACCCATAGACTGGAGACCCAGGAGCTATTCTACTGGTCAACAAGTAATCCCAGGAAGAATTAGCAAATGATGGAAGTGCTCATGATGCTGTGAAACTGCTGCTATTGAAGACCCAAGGACTGGATCCCAGATGAGAGAGCTGGCATCTTTTTATTTAGACGAACCAGGCAGAATCCTTGGGTAAAGCAGATTTAACCAGAACTGCTGCTTTTCTTTCATTTCTGTGTGCCTCTTGCCACAGTAACTGTTTTACAAAGTTTTGGGATTCTAACATTACTCTTTCCCTTTCCACTACCTCTTCTCTTGTAGAAGATTGTTTTCAATGTTTCCAGCCAATCCAAAGATGACTCCCACAGGACTGGCAATTCTTAGAAAGGAGCAGTAGAGCGTTCTCATCTGGTACTCCCATACATACCTGAAGTTTACCCAAACATAAAAGGACACTTCTCTTGCACATTGCATACTAGTAACACAGGATTCAGTTAAGAGACATCGTCTAGTGACATGTATCGAACAGTTTGTGTCATTTCAGCAGGTGAAGAGTAGGCAGAACATGAAACTCAGGGTTTCCCACTAAACCCCCCAAAAAAGTCCAGACAGTCTATGACGAAGGTAGAACAGAGACAGATTTGATGCTTCTCTCCTGCTCAGTACCCCTGATCTAGATTGGTAGTAATTATAGGTTTAGAAAACACTTGTTATTAAATATTAATTTAAGCTAGCTGCCTATAGTAAAGGTTTCTAAAGAAATCCCTACTGGCTGGACAGTCTAAGTGCCCAGATCTCTAATAATTTTGTAATCTATCAGAGTTTATCAAAATCTGTAGCAGCAAATGAGAAGTAACCCAGAGAGTGTTTTTTCTAGCTAGTAAGATTCAAAATATTTTCTACATTGCAGTTTGCTTCAAATCTTGAGGATTTAAAGAAAACAGTTCTCTTTCTCCTGAGAAATAATATGGTAGTATCGTAGATCAAAGATTATCTCTGGGAGGCTGGTAACTTTCAAGTATTATTAGCATTTCTCCACAGACTACCATATAAATTTTAATCTCTAAATAGCAAAGACTCCAGAGATTAGAGAAAAAAAAAAAAAAAGATCTTCCTCATCTAAGAAGCCTGCAAGTACTTCCACATAACGTAAGAGGATAACAATTTCAAGAATAGTTTTCTGCCAAGATGTATGTCAGTCGGACTAGCACTTAACACAGATTACACTGGAGTCTGAAGATCCCTTCCACAGTGGTTTCCCTCTGGAAAAAGCAAATTTTACATTAGAGCGTAAGGGACTCCCCTCCTGCCTCCACTTTACCTCCCCAATACCTTTATATTACTAAACATGCTGCTGGATGAAAAACCTCTGGTTTGCGTTCAGCAAACAGTTCTAATGCCACTAAAAATGAAGTTCTGGAGTGTTTGTTTGGGTGTTTTAATAATGGTTTTATTACATGTAAATTTCATCTGAGATTTACACGGTTTACCAGAAAGATGATGTACATACATATTCAAAAAGACATGCATGTCTTTCTCCTCAGAAGTCATTTTAAAACTTCTGTGAAAGAAAAGTATTTTTTCTGTACTTAGCCTAAATTAATATTTCTTGGAGATCAAAATAGTCTGCAAATTATTTGTGGCATTATCATGCATCTTGCAGATGGTTGTACTGAACTACTAAAAAACCTGAAATCCCTATAGCCTTTTGGATTTAAGACATAATGTGGAAAAGTAGAATTAAATTCTGAAAGGAACATGCATCTGTCAAAATGAAGTCAAACATTCCACATCAGATATACTAATAGCTACCAATCTATGATCCACATAGACTGTAGTTGATGATTTTCAGCTTTCTTTACAGACTCATAAATGTCTAGATTAATTCTTTCAGAGTAATTGCATACGTGTGCAAATGGCTGTATCAGTAAACTAAAATCATGCAAACAGGAAAATTCACCCACATTGTCAAATGGACCGATGCAGATAGTTACTTCTGGATGCACATCTTTTCTGTGGATCCTGAAAGTTTTTATCACAAGAGCTTTAAATTTTTAATCACGTTTCAAGTTATTTTCAAGAAAGGAATACAGCTTATGATTGATCATGTACACAGCCTGGACCACTGATAAGAAAGCAACAGTATCTCTTTACTCATTTTGAAATCAAAGAGCTTTGTAAAAACACTTCACGCTTGCTTATAAGATGAAGCTTAAGACACCCCATTAGTAATGGGTATAGCTCATTTATATATTGAGAAAATACTTCATATTGTATACAGACCACCACTGTGTGCAGTTTACATTAAAAAATTAACGTGAGACAGAAATGCAAAAAGTGGTTATAAACTTGAAGCACAAAGAGCTTTAGGCTTCCTGAACTAGACAATATGGGGACTACCTACCAAATTTTTTATGATTAAAAAGATTTAAATAGAATTTCAGAAATAGAACAGATATGATCAACACACAAGTTGCTTTCATCATCCCCTGCCCCCAAATTTTAAAGTGTTAATGTTGAAAATCAAGTGCCCTGAGGAAAGTCTTAAAATCTGTTATGGGCTTATTTTCTATCCACATAGATGATCTTCACATGACAGCCCACTGTGGGGGCTGGGAAACTACGTATGAACTTTACGATTGCTTTCAGATGCAGCTGCTGGTCAAGCTACTATACTTGCATAATCAGTAATGAGCAAAACATTACATAATCTCATATGCTTAACAATAAAAGTTTAAGGCCACAATTATAAAATCTTAAGTCCTACAAGTTCTAACAAAATGTCTGCTATTTTTCCAGTTTTACACTTCTGCTCCTTCTGTGCTTCTTTTCGCCCTTACCTAATTCTAAAAAACATTTTTATTTCTGCCTTTATTGAAGACAGAATAAACCTAAAAGTTAATTTGTAGGCAACAGGGAGAACTATTGGGATGCAACACAAACTTTTTTTTTAAAAGCAGAACACAGCTGTTGAACATTAATAAACCCATGAGAAGATGTCAAAATCATAAATCCATCTGGCAAGGAAGTGCTCACAGAAAAGGGAAAAAAAAATGCAATATAATATCTGTAAGAATACCTTATCTTAGACATTTTGGAGGACAGCTAGTACAACTCACCCTAAAATACTTCACAGCAAAATGCAATTTTAGAGCTACTGCCAGATGTTCAGAGCAAAGATAGAATTGACAGTATTCATTTATTCATGCAACTTTTAGGTAATTATTTATCTGTTAATTCAAATCTGTAATTTAACAATTAAAATAGTTCTCATAGCTGCAAGAGCACCCTAACATCCAATTACAAACATGTTTAACTGTTTCTCTTACGAAATGTGCTTATTTCAAAACAGAACCACTTTTCACTGTTCAAATCCTTAAGTCCTTCAGAGCACCTTTTCAAACTTTTCACATTTTGATGAGGGCCACATAGTGCTGCTAGGAAGATTAAGAAAAAGACTCAATTGGATAAATACAGCATGCTTTTCTCCTCCCAAGAGGACGAAGCAGCAAAGCCCATCACCCACCAAGCTGGACACTCATTCTGTGTCCTTGATGGGTTTCAGTATCCAACTCCAAAAGCCCTAAGCAACCTGCTCAGGCCTCACTGCTGATCCTGCCCTGAAGAGGAAGAGATCTCCCTGAAGTACCTTTCCAGTCGAATAATCCTCTTATCTCTCAGATAGATAACAACCAAACTCAAGCTGAACTCACAGGAACTTGCCTTTCTACTCTCCCACCCTCCTCTGGGAAATTTTTTCCCACCAAGCAGTAGGAACTCTCAGGAGAGCCTCACAGTTGCTTGTTCTACTCCTAGTACAGAGACGACTTTACAAACAGTACTCGCTGTCCACCTATAGCACGTAAACCAACATTCGAGTTCCTTAGTATGAAGAGTTTTCTTTCCTTTTTTAAAAAGTAGCTGCAGAAACATTCTCCCCCTACAAAAATTAACTGCTACAAGTACACTTTTTTACACAATCACCTGCACTGCAGTCCACTATTTAAACTCTCATGATTTCAAGAAAACAATGAACTGAACTAACAATCAGTAAAACATTTTGAGAAACATGCTTTCATGCATCAATCACTCAGACCTTGATTCCCTTTATGTATTTATCTTCACTGCTATTTTCTTATTTTCTCCCCAAATTCAACAATTTCAAATGCAAAATTTTCCAGGTATGGTTCACTACATCATTATTTAATCATTTTAAGCTTATTCTACCACAAATATTATGCTACCAATATACCTCACTATGTTATGGAACCTCTTTTCTCCACACATATTACCCAGGTACCTCTCTAGGCATACTGCATGTTTACCTTCTGTTGTCTTTTATTTTCATACAGAAGTATTTAGGAACCACCTTAATTCCAACTGTTCTCCACGAACACTCCATTTGCTGGAACTGTCAAGAATTCACTCAAGTGCAAAAAGCACCCTGAAGATCTTAGCTGCCTCTGT